CCCAACCTCCACATACCCACCCCACCCCCTCCACCCCTCCTCACCCTAAATAAAAATATTATTAATAGTAGTTTCTTTTCATGTTATAGATAGATTTTTCATTTCAACAAAAAAATTATTTTCTTTTCACGTAGAAAAAGTGTTTTCTTTCATTTCAACAAAAAAAATATTTTTTCATAATTTTAAAAAAAGATTTTTTTTTCATTTCAACAAAATGAATATTTTTTTTCATGATTTAAAAAAAATATTTTCTTTTATTTCAATAAAATAAAATAAAAGGAAACGTTGTGACTTGGGGAATGGGGGTGAGAAGAGTAGCATAAAAAAGTATTTTCTACTCTCTAACCAAACACTAGAAAATATCCACTCACCAACCAAATAATGAAAAATAAGTTATAAATTCATTCATTTTCCATAAAAATATTTTTTACGAAAAATATTTCCCACAAAAAACATTTTCGTTCGTACGAAACACACCTAAACGGTGCCTTTTGCTCCAAATAGCAGAATCTGACCAATACAAAAATGCAGCGAATGGGGTAAGAAGTCAAACAGTTAATTTCTTAAAAAACAAAAGTCCTCTCTAACTTCTCTGTCCAAGTTAGGCGGCATCTAGTGAGGCATCATTCCTAGCACTTACCAACATAGAATCCTAGTCACATTTGGATGCTGTTAGTGGTGCAAGAAATAAATAAAATAAATAAAATAGAAGGATAATTTCACAAACTAAGGATAATATCGCAAACCTTTCCTCTCTCGTCTTGTAGCACATAACTCTCATGTGGTTAAATATTAACATACCCCCTTTGTTACTACGGGTAAAATCGGGGATAAAATTACCCCCGATTTATCGATAAAGAAACAAGAGGACAGCGCGATCCGCTATGGCTTCGGGTAAAGCCGAGGGCTCCCACAGATCAAAGCTCGGGGAGGATGAATGACGCGCCAAGAATCGGACACAGCCAAACATGAGAAGAATCGAGTTCGAGCAAAATAAAGAACCGAAACTAATGGAAAGACGGTTGGAAAAGACAAACGAGGGGCTGAAAAATCCGCCCTTAACCGGATATTACGGAGCAAATCTCGCCTGATATCAACGGCGTATCACAGTTTACCAGAAGAGAAATTTTTTTACCTTATTTAGACTTGTACTAGGATTAAAACTCCCCCACTATATAAAGGGGAGAACCTTTTTATTTTTGGGACCATTGTTGGCACGCACACCAAAACAATAAAGTTAAATTTTGTTCTCTAATTACTTTTCAAAGTGTTCTTCACCTGCTTATTTATTTAGTTGCAACCGAGCCCGTTTTGAGGGCTTGATCGGAACCAACTTTCAGTGTTCATCATAAAGCCAGGCTTAATCATCTATCGTGTTTGGTGTGATCATTTTATTTTCCTTTAACTCAATCATTTGTTGTTCTTGGATCATTCGTATTAAATTAAATCACATATCCTTTAAACCGCGTATAAATTCAATTGTTACTTATTTTAAAGGTAAAGCGTTTGGCGCCCACCGTGGGGCTAAAGATAATAGTGGTGATTTTATACGAATCTCCATAACACACTCTATTTTATACTTGCTCTTTAAAGTTTGATTTCACGTCTATTTAAATAGTCAAATTCACAGTCTCCTCACTTGAATGTTAACACCGAGTCAGGCCACCATGGTGAAAACGATAACGAGGTACCCAGCAATGATGTACCCTTTGTTGATCCTAATGGGGTCCCAATCGCTGACCCAGTCGATGCCAACTCAAAAGTTGCCATAAATATCAACCTGCCAACTGATCCCGAAAATAGCGTTCGCGGAACACCCCGACCATCAAGTCGAGAAGTGTCCGAAGGGAAAGGTGATGGAGTAAGCGTACGATTGATTTTTGAAATGCTACAAGCTCAGCAAGTGGCAATAGCACTGTTGGCACGCACACCAAAATAATAAAGTCAAATTTTGTTCTCTAATTACTTTTCAAAGTGTTTTTCACCTGCTTATTTATTTAGTTGCAACCGAGCCCGTTTCGAGGGCTTGATCGGAACCAACTTTCAGTGTTCATCATAAATCCAGGCTTAATCATGCATCGTGTTTGGTTTGATCATTTTATTTTCCTTTAACTCAATCATTTGCTGTTCTTAGATCATTCGTATTAAATTAAATCGCATATCCTTTAAACCGCGTATAAATTCAATTGTTACTCATTTTAAAGGTAAACCGTTTGGCGCCTACTGTGGGGCTAAAGATAATAGTGATGATTTAATATAAATCTCCATAACAGACTCTATTTTATACTTGCTCTTTGAAGTTTGATTTCACGTCTATTTAAATAGTCAAATTCACAGTCTCCTCACTTGAATGTTAACGTCGAGTCAGGCCACCACGGTGAAAACAATAACGAGGTACCCAGCAATGACGTACCCTCTGTTGATCCTAATGGGATCCCAATCACTAACCCAGTCGACGCCAACTCAAAAGTTGCCATAAATATCAACCTGCCAGCTAATCCCGAAAATAGCGTTTGCGGAGCACCCCGACCATCAGCTCGAGAAGTGCCCGAAGGGAAAGATGATGGAGTAACCTTACGATTGATTTTTGAAATGCTACAAGCTCAGCAAGTGGCAATAGCATTGTTGGCATGCACACCAAAACAATAAAGTCAATTTTTGTTCTCTAATTACTTTTCAAAGTGTTCTTCACCTGCTTATTTATTTAGTTGCAACCGAGCCCGTTTCGAGGGCTTGATCGGAACCAACTTTCAGTGTTCATCATAAAGCCACGCTTAATCATCCATCATGATTGGTTTGATCATTTTATTTTCCTTTAACTCAATCATTTGTTGTTCTTAGATCATTCGTATTAAATTAAATCACATATCCTTTAAACCGCGTATAAATTCAATTGTTACTCATTTTAAAGATAAACCGTTTGGCACCCACCGTGGGGCTAAAGATAATAGTGGTGATTTAATACGAATCTCCATAACACACCCTATTTTATACTTGCTCTTTGAAATTGATTTCACGTCTATTTAAATAGTCAAATTCACAGTCTCCTCACTTGAATGTTGACGCCGAGTCAGGCCACCACGGTGAAAACAATAACGAGGTACCCAGCAATGACGTACCCTCTGTTGATCCTAATGGGGTCCCAATCGCTGACCCAGTCGACGCCAACTTAAAAGTTGCCATAAACATCAACCTGCAAACTGATCCTGAAAATAGTGTTCGCGGAGCACTCCGACAATCAGCTCGAGAAGTGCCCGAAGGGAAAGGTGATGGAGTATGCTTACGATTGATTTTTGAAATGCTACAAGATCAGCAAATGGCAATAGAACAATTGCAGAGTCAAAATCACGCACAGAACACGGCCGGACCCGAGCGAGTTAGAGAAATGAACGGATTGTTACATAACCATATGAGTTCGGGCCCGAAGAGACTTCCGATGTGATGAAAATGCTCAAAGCACTAACGAAGCGGGTGGAGTCCAGCGAAAAGAAGATAGAGGCAAATGACAAGAAGGTGGAGACTTAAAATTGAAGGGTAGATCAGATACCGAGAGCGCCTCCAATATTGAAAGGACCGGATTCCAAAAAGTTCATTCAGAAACCTTTTCCCTTGAGCGCGACACCGAAGCCAATTTCGAAGAGGTTCCGAATGCCCGATATTTCCAAATATAATGGGACCACAGATCCAAACGAGCATGTAACCTCCTACACGTGCGTAATAAAAGGCAATGACCTAGAAGATGACGAGATCGAATTGGTGTTGTTGAAGAAATTTGGGGAAACTTTGTCCAAATGAGCAATGATATGGTACCATAACTTACCTCCATATTCTATTGATTCATTTACTATGCTTGCGGATTCCTTCATTAAATCCCATGCCAACGCTATCAAGGTCGAGACAAGGAAATCAGACCTCTTCAAAGTCAAGAAAAGGGACAACGAGATGCTTAGGGAGTTCGTGTCGAGGTTATAGATGGAACAAATGAACCTGCCTCCGATTGTAGATGATAGGGCCGTCCAGGTGTTTACTCAAGAGCTTAACCCCGGAAGTTCCATTGCTTCTCAACAATTAAGGCAAAACTTGGTGGAGTACACAGCAGTTACTTGGGCCGATATTCATATCTGGTACCAGTCAAAGATCAGAGTCGAGGACG